CTGACCGAACTGCAATCTCTGGGCCTCATTCGACCATCGTCGTCACCATGGGGTGCTCCGGTATTATTCGTCAAGAAGAAAAATGGTGAAATGCGAATGTGCATTGACTACCGCGCTCTGAACAAGGTCACTATTCGCAACTCTACCCCTTTGCCTCGCATTGATGAATGCCTGGATCGTTTGCAAGGCGCTTCGTGGTTCACTTGCCTGGATCTTCGTTCCGGCTACCACCAAATTAGGCTAAAAGACTCTGATATCCCACTTACTGGATTTAATACCCGATATGGTAAATGGGAATGGCTCGTGCTGCCTTTCGGACTTTCAAATGCTCCACCCAGTTACCAAACTTGGATGAACGGAGTTTTAAAAGATTGCATTGACAGATTCGCTTTGGTTTACTTGGACGACTGTTGCATCTTTAGCAAGACATTAGAAGACCATATCAAGCATGTTCGTCAAGTACTCTCCATCTTTGAAAAGGAAGGGCTCATTGTCAACTTGAAGAAATGTGAATTCGGTAAGCGTGAGCTAGAATTTCTGGGTTTCAAGGTCTCCGCGAATGGTATTTTACCATCGTCATCGAAAGTGAAAGCTATCCAAGACTGGCCAAGACCTACTAATGTGCAAGAGGTGCGTCAATTTGTTGGATTAGCACAGCATTATCGCCGTTTCTGCCCGAACTTCTCTTCTGTGGCTGCTCCTCTTACTGAATTGACTCATGGTAATGGTGCTAAGAAACGTGCTATTGTCTGGAATGATCAATGTGAAGTTAGTTTCAAAGCTATCAAACAAATGCTAACATCATCTCCTTTATTGAAACTACCTGATATGAGCAAGCCATACCGCATTGAAACCGATGCAAGTGACTTTGGAGTAGGCGCCGTGCTTTTACAGGAGGATCCTGATTCTTCTACTTGGTTGCCAATTGCGTATGAATCCAAGAAATTATCTCAAGCTGAACAAAAATTGCCTGCCCAGGAACGTGAACTAATTGCTATCATCCATGCTTTGAGAACATGGCGATGTTTTGTGGACGGTTGTCAAGGTGGTTATACTGTGTATAGTGATCACAAGCCTCTGATCTACTTCAAGTCTCAACTGAACCCAACACCTCGTCTTGTTCGTTGGATTGCAGATTATGAGGCATTCTCGCCAAATATCGAGTACAAAGCTGGAAAAGACAACGAAGTGGCGGATGCTCTCTCAAGAAAACCAGATTTACTTGTGGAAAATGGAGAGAATATACCTTCGTTGGCACCTGAAAACTTATATGCTGCTTGGGATCAGTTGTCTGATACTATCAAGACTGATTGGCCTATTCTGTATGTCGACAAGAACTACGAAAAAATGAAATCAGATGCATTGCGAAAACGCATGGAAAAGGAGGAGGATCAGTTTGTGGTACGCCAAAGAACAGTGTATCGACTAGTCAAGATGGAGGATGGAAGCATAAAGCAAGTCAAATTTATTCCGTTCTCGGATCGTGCTGATTTGGTTTTCAAGTATCATGAAGCTTTTGGCCATGCTGGTATCAAGACTATGCTAAAAATGTTCACTGAAAGGTACTGGTGGCCAGGTTTGCGAAAGGATATTCAAGACTGGCTGAAAACTTGTACTGCTTGTCAGCTGAATAGTCGCCGTGATCAGGTTCATCAAGATGTCATGCATCCTCTGCAAATACCTCAAGCTTTTGATCGTTGGCATTTGGATTTTGTGGGTGAATTGCCTACAACTGGAAACGGAAACAAATGGTTGTTGACGGCTGTGGATTACCTCACAAACTGGCCTATTGCAAGATCAGTACCAGTAGCATCTATGGAAGCGGTAGCGGATTTTATCTATGAGGAGATTGTCATGCGATTTGGTTGTCCCTCTGAAATTGTGACGGATCGAGGTGCCAATTTTACTAGTGGTCTTGTAACAGCTTACACCAAACGTGTTGGAATAAATCACAAGCTCACCTCGGCATTTCACCCGCGCACCAACTCCAAGGTAGAGCGATACAATGGCGTGATCAAGCAAATGCTTCGTAAGTATGTCAATGGTGCTATTCATCGCTGGGATGACTTTGTGAATGCGGCTTTGTGGGCAAGTCGAATTCGAGTGCACTCAACAACAGGCTTTTCCCCTTATTACTTGGTGTATGGACGTGAACCTAGACTGCCTGGAGATGTTTTGAGACCCTATATCACCAAGGAAATGCTGTTGGACATACGAACGGTAGCTGACCTAACCTCGCGTGAACTAGAACTACTTGGTCAACATCGTGCTGCTGCTGAATTTCGTTTGAAAGCCATGAGCGAAGCGGACAAGAAGCGTTGGGATGCCAAGATTAAACCCACGCACTTCGAAATGGGTGATATGGTTATGCTGACTCATGAAGGCAAATTTGGCCTAGAACCTCGCTACAAAGGACCCTACATTGTGACAAAGGTGTTCCCTGATTTTGGTACTTATCAACTGGAAACTATTGCTGGTGAACCATTACAATCGTTAGTACATGTGGACAGATTGAAAGCAGCGAAAGGTGACAAACCCAGGGAGCCATGGTATGATCCTACTACTAGTCGTCGTGCTGTTCGTGAAGCCGATTCTCTTCGTATGGCCTCAAATACTAGTTCCACTGACCCCAATGGTACCACTGCTACTTCCTCTTCACCATCACCTTCGATTTTCTCATCAAACCCAAGTCTAAATCAACCTCAAGATGATTTTATCGACATGCCAATTTCTGATCAGAGCACGCCAAACAACAGCTCCACTACACAACCTACTACCACTAATAAACCGCCAACTCACTCTCAATATCATCACATACTTACACAACAAATATCAGATGAGGATAGCTCTCTACATGGGAGTAGTGTGATGGATGAAACAGAGGACAACGAACGTGGATTGGGTCAAATCATGGATGGATACGACTTTTTGTCATCTACTGATAGCGATATTGAAGACACAGATCAACCACCAACACTATCCCCACCACATACCATGTCTCCACCACCATCTCCTTCTACAGAATCGTCTTATTTGTCATCTCAGTCTACAGTATCGAATATAAGTAGTGGTGATGCAGCAATAATCAATGAAACAGTCAGTGTTGATACAGATCTTGAACTGGATGAGCGTGTATCAGAGCCAGAAAACACAGAAATGGTGCCAGGTCTTCGAAATGAACCTCATGTTGTTTCTCCTGCCAGCCCACCTTCCGTTATTCAAGCTACTCCAGAACCTGATTCCACTACTACTGTGAATTTTTTCCCTCCTGCTGCTACAAACCAAACTCCCATTGCACTTACTTCTCGTCCTGGGCCACCAAAAAGTACTTTTGTCTTCAAAACTCCTGCCATTCCAAAGATCCACACGCAAAATGAGACCACCCAACCTGCAAAAATCGTCGATCTCTCTTCTCATATGCCAAACACTGCCACTGGTTCATCAAGTTCAAGTGATGTTCAGGGTCGAACATTTGTCTCGAAGGGGGGTGATGTCAGGGTTGAAGGGTATTCTGACAGTGATTTAGATCTGCAGGATATCATTGACAGACTAAACACAAACAAGAATAAGAAGCGCAGGTTTAAACCTAGAGCGCCAGCTACCAGGAACATTAAACAGCGATTAACCTGGATAGCGCACAACATTACACAAACTATATTGGATAAAATCAATGTTCAAATCTAATATTAATAAAGCACCTTTTTATCCATTCAACTAAAAGGCTATAACATCTTCCTGCACACTCTCTATATCTACTTCCATTTATATCTCGATCAGATCTCAGATTGCATATACTATCTCTACGTATTAGCATCTGACAAATTTAAGTTTAGTATCATGGCCGAGTGGTCTAAGGCGTCTGACTTAAGATCAGATCCGTGTAAACGGGCGTGGGTTCAAACCCCACTGATACTAATTTTTTAATGTTTTCATTTGAAAACGTGAGACGTTTTCACGCTTTTTTTGCGTTTTCTCAACTTTAGGTGCATCAAAAGTTCCTCAAATTTGAGGATAGGTCGGTAGCAGAGTTTTGTTTATGATGTGGAAAGCTCTTCTGGTGACATGGTAAATCAGGAAGTTAATAGATATTCGGTACCGAAATATGAGCAGCCAGTTATTTTGCATTGATTCTTTGTATGGTGAATATATCAAATGGAAAACCTTCAGCATGATAAACTTCTTATTCAAAAGATTACATGCTTAATTCTGATAACAGATTTCTGTCAGATACCAAGGTGAAGAACTAAAGAAGTGCATATGAAGCCGTCGACGGTGAATATCGTAAAGTGAAATGCTTCCAATTGTGATAAGGATGAAAACGCATTAGCGAATCTCTCCTAATTTCTGATTTATGTCCTGCTGGTCGATGCAGTATACAATAGAAAATGTTGCACAGATTTCTATTACGGAATTCCACTATAGAAGGGCAAAAAATGACGCTCTTGTGTGATCTTTTCTGTTATCAACGTGTAAAAAAACTGTCTTGGAGTCGTATCAAGTCTGAAAGCCGATGTAGTAGTATGCAACAACGATACTCGTTTTGTTGTGCATTACAAACGCTACTTTATTGACAAAGTGAATCATGTTGTGAGATATGACGATGAATACATACAATAAATTAAGATTTTTGTTGTTCATTCCAGACAGTAGCACAAGGAGTAATTGAGTTGATTGTTTTAGACCCATCATCTGCTTCAATGTAGCAAAATCAGGGGAAAAATAATCAATTGGAAATGTTACAAAAAGTAATACAAAATGAATTTCACAACAAACGATTCACAGAATATGTCATGTCGCATATGAAATGAATTCGAGAACCATATAAATACCCTGAGAGCAGATGGCGTTTTAGCTATATCCTTTATCAAACAAGCTCTATTTCTAATTGCTTTACGCTTAAGGGGTTGTTGTTGTTGCACATCAAAAGGAACGCCCACTATTATATATAAATACCATTGAATTTTGTGTTTACTCTTCTTCCCTCTCCTTCAAATCACATCATGCTCCCAGTACCATCATCATCAGAAAATCACAATAAGAATAACAGCAAGATACTCAACAAAACGTTGGCAAGATATGTGTCGACAAATCCAGGCATCAACGTGTCCAGTTCTTCTTCCTCATCTGTGCCGGATGAGAGCTTTTTCACCCCTAAACCATCACCAGCACCTACGCCATCTGTGAGCAGAAATTCACTTAGGAACAATATTCGTCCTGTGCCATCTACATCTTGTAGAAGCGCCTTCTCTGTGCAGACATTTCATACAGCTATTGGTGCTGATAACTCAGATGATGAAGAGGAAGATAAACAGCAGAGATTGGAAACAATCGTAGAGAATGAAAAGATGTCCTCCAACAAGCCAACAGACGGTAAACCTGATACTTCAAAAACCAATGAATTAGAAAGTATCCATCAATACAGAGCAATTGCACCACCTATTACGGCAGGTAGCAGCAGTAATCTTATGGTTCATCCCATGTCGCTTGTTCACAGTACCAGTGGCAGTATACCCAACAATTTCTACTATTACGGCTCATTAGACAGTGGCATGTTATCAAGGTCTCCTGCAGGATCGTATTTTCATGATTATTTCAGCGAAGATTACGAGGTTGTATTGGACGATGGCACTAGACAAAAACGATCGGTCTCACTATCTACCCTGCCAGTGATAACACCTCTGGAGTTTGGCAAACAAAAGTACAGAGGCAATTATAATCATTTTTACTTTGATGGTGGAGGAGATGAAGTTGAAACAAACGAAAACCATCAACGGCAGGCTAGCAGGAGCCAAGCACACGAGTAAGTAGTTGTATAAAACGGTGCTACGATGCAGCTATACTGATGGGAAGTAATAGGTTTTATCATCATTTGTTGGAAGAAGAAGAGAGACGAACTCTCTTGTTTCCAACTTCATCATCGGATCCCAACATGATTATTCAAGACCTTCAGCCAGTGGAAACCAGCGAAGATGAAGACGAGTTCCAACAACACAGAACGCATCGCATAATGAATAAAAGGAACCAGAAGCAAAAGAAATCGAACCAAAATTGCTTCATATCGAGTCTCAAATCCATGTATGAATGGTCTGCACGTCATATCTTTACCTTGTCCTACAAGCAAAAGATGGTGCTGAAATGTAGTTTAGCTTATTTGCTGGGATCTCTGTTCACATTTATGCCTATATTGAATAGCATGCTAGGCACTGCCAAAATCTCGAGCCATGTTATTGCAACAGTTACTGTCTTTTTCAATCCCTCAAAGACAGTCGGCGGTATGGTGGAGGCAGCAGGCTATGGCTTGCTCTATACAGTGTGTGCTCTTTTGCTTTCTTTAATGAGCATGCTCATAGCCATCTATTTGAGGTCCGAGGATTACTATGTTACCTCCTGCTGTGTAACTCTTGGATTTTGGCTCGCTGGTAGCACATTTGTGCTATCATTCATCAAAGCACATTACAACAAACCAGCTATCGGTACAGGTACGTTGATTAGAAGAGCATGTGTTTGGATAAATGCTCACCATGAGTCTTAGGCTGTGGATTAGGCTTTATGATCATATTCCCCGTGCTCGTGAAAGAAGGTTCCGTGATCCCGTCTGATTTCGACCCCACCTACATTGAAGAGATGTTTGCCATAGTGACTATAGGTACAGCCATATCTGCTTTTGTTTGCTGGTTTATATGGCCCATGACAGCAACCAAGAAATTAAAGTAAGTCTATCAGCAATTAGGAAGCAGCAGTGACACTAAGTTTCAGGCAGAATTGACATCAATGACACACTCATGGCTATCAAAATCTTGCTCAAGCTATTGACCAAGACATTCCTTCTTGATACAGACTTACCAGAGTTTACCGCGAACGAGAATTTACAAACTGCAATTAATTCACATCGCACAAGCTTTACATCCCTGCAAGCATCACTGGCCGATGCAAAAAAGGAATACTACAATTTAGACATTTGGAGACATGCAGCGGGCTACGACACCATTGTATCAAGCTTGCAGAGGCTAGCTCAGCATGTAGGTGGTTTACGTAGTAGCTGTGGCCTACAGTTTGAGGTGATGAGAACATCCACCAGCCAAGACAAGAAGAAGGCCCCAAAATATGGTGCTATTCCCAAACACAATGACACACTGGACTCGAACTATGGCAAAAAGAAAAAAGTATACCACGTCAAAGCAACAGATCAGCGAAAAAAGATGGAGTACGAGTTGAAGAAAGAGCAAACACTATCCACGCAATCCATGCTTGAACACAGCAATCGCAGCAGCGAGGATAACAATGCAGAAGACGATCCATATGGTAGATCGCTCAAAAAACAAACAGAAAGACAGCCTTTAAACGGTTACTATCATATCGAACAGGAAGAGGACGACAACCATTCAGCCAGGAAGCAAGAGCAAGACGAAGATGGCGCCTTGGTGCAGTTTATCAAGACAGTGCGGCCTCCCATGAAATCATTAGCATACACCTGCAAACAGACCATTGTACATTTGCAGAGCCGATTCACAAACCAGACAACGGACAGCACGCCATCGTTTGGTATGATGAGGCAGAATTTGGCCATGGCCATGTCACTTTTTGAGGAATCTCAACAGCTTGCCTTAACCCGCATGTACCGTCGAAAGATGAAGCGTATGAAGTTAAAGAATGCAACCATTAACCCTGAAGAATTGCAGTCGCATTTGATGAACCAGTTTCCCGCAGAGGATGTATTTTTGGTGTATTTCTTTGTGTTTTGTTTGTTGGAGTTCGCCAAGGAGTTGATGGTGTTAGTGGAGTGCGTACAGTCCGTGTTTGAATACGATGAGGAACAAAACAAGAAGGGTGGATTCTGGCAGACGATGAAACGTTATTTGATCAGTCCATGTAAGTTGACTACCAGTGTATCAATGACGCAGATACTGATGACATTACTTGCTAGTTTGGTTCTTATGCTGCTGCTTCTATTCAAGACAACGACACGCAGACTGCCATGAACAACAAACACAGACACAAGACTCAGCAAGTGACAAAAAGAAATACACTCCTGTCATCACTAAAAAGAGTTCTATTGAATCGTTCAAGCCAAACAACAACAATACCTTTGGCTCGCTTCACACACCCAAACCCACATCCAAGCTTAGGCAGTTCTTTTTAAACTTGTGGGCCTTTTTTTCCTGGTTTAGGCAGCATACTGTGCGTTACGCATCTAAATCAACACTGATCGCACTCGCAATTGCTTCCATGGCATTCATTCCGGCAACGAGAGAATTTTTCATCACTTGGAAGATGGATTGGACGCTCATTACGGTAGGGTTGGGATTGTCTCAGATATTCAGTCGGAGGCTAAACAAAGTCTGTCAATAGGTAATGGCTGTGATGTCTCCCACTGTGGGAGGCACAAACCAAGTCGCTGTGTTGCGAGTACTAGCAACCATTCTCGGTTCCGTCATTGCAGTGTTGTTTTACTTGTTCTTGCCTCATCAGGGTCCCATTCTACTATTGATGTCATGGGCATTCTCTATTCCTTGTTTCTGGATGATCTTGAACCACAAACATGGGAGATTCGGTATGTTCTCATTACTGTCTTACAATTTGATTGTACCTTTCATATACAATCACAGAAACGAGGATGAAGTCATTGATGTGATTGAGTTGGCTTTCATGCGATGTGCAACTGTTTCTGCAGGTGTGATTATTGGTAAGTGGATTAATGCGTGTTGCTTGTTGTCCTACTATAACGGCTGCGTGTTCTACTGCAGGCCTTGTGGTTACAGCGTATATTTGGCCATTTGAAGCAAGAAAAGAAATGCGAAAGGGTCTTTCTGATCTACTGATTCGGCTTTCATGGTACTACAAGCAGTTGGTGTCAGAATATTCAGAGGACAACGCATTATCAATCGCTCAAACAAAAGATGAAGCCAGCACAAACTATTCATCTCTCGTCAAAAAGGCCATTTCTGATGGTAGGTCTTTAAGTGACAACACCAACAGCAATAGTAGATTGGTTACTTCTCGCGAAGAGCTTGAAGCACTAGCAAGACGCAACGAAGCTAGATCAATCCAGTTCCAGCATGTGGAACTCTCACTGCAAGTAAGCCTAGTAGAACTCCAAGGACTTTTAGCTTATGCACCCAACGAGCCGCGTCTAAAGGGCCCCTTCCCTGTCAAAACCTATGAGGCCATGCTCACATCCTGCCAAAACATTCTTGACAAGTTCCTCTCGATACGTATCGTCATTCTTAAGGATGTGTGGGCAACGCAAGTAAGACGAGACCTCATGCTACCAGCAAGTCAAGAGCTGATGGAAATGGCAGGAAGCGTATTGCTCTACTTTTACTTGCTTGCATCTGCATTACAGCTGAAAACACCATTGCCTCCGTACTTACCACCAGCAGAAAAAGCAAGAGAAATGCTCATGCTCAAGTTACAACAATTACCCAAAATCACAGCAGATTTAAAAAAGAACAACTCACCAAACAGCAACGAATCGGTTAAAGATGAATGCTACATGGTATACTATGCCTATGTAATCATGATGGAGAGTATTATTATCGAGTTGGACAAGGTAAAACTATTCTTTGTAAGGACAAATTTTGTTCAAAGAACTGACAATCTCTCTTTAGTTGGGTCAAAAGATGAAGGAGTTGTTTGGCTCGTTAGTACCTGACGATCAATGGGCTAGATGCTTTGGTTTGATCGACTTGGAAGACCCACAGAAAAGATGATTTTTTTTGAATAAACTTGATCTTGTACCTGAAGTATTTAGTATGGCTACTCGTAGCACTATGTCTTGGTTGGCTCGATGCATTATTTATGGTTGCGAAATGCCTGTTTGTTTTGATAAGAACGAACGAACATACGTGGCGGCGGCTTGCTCTACTAGTCATCTTTGTCTTTCCCATTACAATAACGTAAGTGTCATCGTTAATCTTACTTACTTGGGCTTCTCAGCTGGCACTGTCATGCAAGAGCCTCTCATATCTGGGGATCCGACTTTTTTGCGATGCTCCGCGTCTGTATTAATGGAAACAGTTCATGTATGGACATATAACGTACTTACATTGCCTCCTACTACTCAAATAAATGCAAAATACAGCGAAATTTGGACTCACTTGAGTCATGATTCCTCGTGCTAGGAGACATTTTAGACTGCCAGAACAACACTAAACAGTTACTCTCGTCTAGCGGCTACTTACTGATGCCTTTGCTCCAATTTTCTAGGATAAAAAAAACATGACCTAAAACCACGAGGGGCACCTTATGAAAATCATCGAAAATCAAATAATCGCGTTTTTGACACCAAAAACGAAGACTTTTATTATGGCAGATATTAGATCAAAATGTTTCTGTCGACTCAAAGCAGTTTCTGATACTTTGTTTATGAGATCTTTGTAAGAAGAATCTCGACATTTTCGGCAAAAACCTCATTTCATATATTCAAAAATTGCTCAATTAATTTATTCAAGATACCTCCTTTTGTTAGCATCATTGGATGCGCCTTAAAAAGTACTCCTAAACAGTATTAGAAAGTATGGGTAAACTATCACAGCTTACATAGTCCGAATCTGCGAAATAGGTCGAATCGTGTCCAAAAAGTTTAGAAATCAACAAATCAGGACATTATAATGACAAGCGAAAATTAAAATAATTTTGGTCTGCAACACTCAATAAGGCCCTTCTAATTATGAAGGCAGTTCGTACTTGCGAAGCAAATACAAAGGGAACTAAGAATTCAAACGTAATGCAGTTTTAATGTTGGGCATTTGTATATTCGGTCATGCCAGCCAGGCTTGACTCGCCACCAGAATATTTGAATGATGCGAGCCGTTTATATAGCTGATCTATACTTACAGCCGCGAAATGACAAAAACAGGTATAGATCATTGTAATATAGGCAACAAATACCCAAAATTTGGCTGATATCAATTAATTTAGGTTACATCAATCGTCTTTAAAATCATTTGCAGTGTAGCCAGTGATTTGAGTCAATATGACAACCACACAACAGGGATGATTTGCATCAGCTCTTGAGCTTGTGCAAAGATAAGCTTGAAAACGCCTGGAATTTATTTCGCAAGCTTGATTAAAGTGCCTGAACTATCAACAGATCCACCAAAGATGCTAGCCAAGCAATATTTCCTCTAGTAGGTTTCATCACTTGATTGCATTTGAGGGATGCAGATCGGATTTACCCATGATGTGAGTTCAAAGCAATAGATGTCGTACTTTGATATGATGTTGATGAACTGAGCACAAATGGTGTGTCGCTGTAACTGACTTTGATGTTTTGTGAATCATCAACGGTTGGGATACATCAGCCGTGTCAAATGTGGGGATTTTCGCCCCGCAATCTTAACCTTTTCCTCCCAAGAGTTGCAGATCTAAGCATATAAGATGTGCTACAGTGTTAAACGGTACATCCAACATAATGCTTGTATATGATGACGACCCTGTGATGAGTAGCTTCCAATGAACAACCTTTACCAGGTCAGAGACATCTGTCGATGGGTGTTTGTAGGACTCCACTACAGTGCACTGAAAGAACAAAAATTTATTCTTTTTTTTTTTTTTTTTTTTTTTTTTTTTTTTTTTCTTTTCTTTCAATTAGACAAACATTTGAACCAACGAAGAAGGAAAAAAAAGGGCCATTTTCACCCATTTGCTCTCTCGCTCACACGCACATAACATCGCAAGCAACACATACGTTCGTTTTTTTTTATATATATAGACCCATTACTACGCAACAAACAAGATAATCAATGGTAAGGAAAATCCACAATGACAAAAAGGGAAAATCTTAAGTCTTATTTTTTTTTTTTTTTTTTGGGCGAATTATAGTTATGAGTTCATCGATACCTGGGTCACCACATCCTTACTTTGACGAAAAAGCTGGAGAAAGAGAAGCACGGATAAAGAGTTTATTTGAATCACTCGACTGCAAGGGCAGAGGCTATTTGGATGCTGAAGCCATTCTCGGAGGCTTTCTCAAATTAACACACCTACCAGCACACACGCGTTACGTTACTGATCTACTAGCAAAATGCGATACAGCGCACGACGGCATTATAGATTATCAAGAATTTAGAACCTATGTATTGGATAAAGAAAAGGATCTTTGGCAGTTGTTTTCTGAAATCAACAAATCAGGGGACTTTAGAATACATGCAAAGGATCTTGAGTGTGCTTTGAAAGAGGCTGGTATTCATGTCACGGATGAGGATATTGTGAATTTCATGCAAGTCATTGATACAGGTAAGATAATAAAGCGAGTTAGGCGTCAAGAAAGAAAGGAGGGTATGCTGACAAGAATGGCTATTAGAGGGAAATGGCTATATCGATTTTCAAGATTGGCGTGATTTCTTATTAGTAAAGTATATACCACACTACATCATAGATGAAGAGGAGTCAGAGCCCATCTTCTAACCCAGCTATCTCCATCCTTAGTTATTGCCACGTGAAACTACGATTCTCGAAATCTATCAATACTACCAATCATCAACACAACTCACACACGATGCCGAAGTTGTCATTCCACATACTGACGAAACAGCCAACAATGCTTACAAATACCTAGCAGCAGGTGGTATGGCAGGTGCTGTGTCCAGAACATGTACAGCTCCATTCGATAGACTCAAAATATACCTCATTACTCAAACATCATACTCCAATTCGCAACAACAAGCCATGAAATCAACCACCACCACCACAGCAGCAGCAGCAACCAAAAAACCCACACAGTCGGCCATCATTTCTGGCATGAAGAATATTTATCGCCAAGGAGGATTCAGAGCATTCTTTGTTGGCAATGGTCTCAATGTCATCAAGATTGTCCCTGAGTCCGCCATCAAATTCTACGTTTTCGAGACAGCCAAATCCGTATTAGCAGAATTAACACAATCAGAGGATAAGAACGGTATACCTGTGGGTGCAAGATTTGTTGCTGGTGGTGTTGCTGGTCTATGCGCACAATTTTGTATTTATCCTGTCGAGACGCTCAAGACACGTATCATGTCGTCCATGATTATTGAAGCCAACAATGGAGAACAACAAAAGAAAAAGAGCAGCGATGCATTCAAGGCGAGACAAAAGCATTTGATATTCAATACAGCAAAAGCCATGTATAAATCAGGTGGACTCAAGGGATTTTGGCCTGGTTTGACAGTGAGCTTGATGGGCGTGTTTCCTTATCAAGCATTGGATATGGGTATTTACGAGACGCTCAAGGTCACCTATCTTCAGTACATGAACAATCAAAAGGATGAGCATGGAAAAGGCAAACCTCCCAATGTACTGATCTTATGGGCTTGCGGTATGGTGAGTGGCTCTATTGGCGCAAGTAGTGTCTACCCATTGAATATGATTAGAACCAGGTAATCTGAGCTTGCTGTTCAGGATATAACTTCCAAGCTAATCCTCCTTGATGTAGATTACAAGCTCAAGGAACACCAGCACATCCATATCGTTACACGTCTGCCTGGGATGCAGCTAAAAAGACATTCCACGCTGACGGCGCGAGAGGATTTTACAAGGGACTGGGCCCTACTTTATTCAAAGTCGTACCTTCTGTTAGCATTAGCTATGCCGTGTATGAGTTTAGTAAAAGAACACTGGGTATCTCTTGAGAGTAGCAGATACACACACACACACACACACATAGATGTAAATAAACCATTCTTTATCATGACAATACATGCATTCTTGGACAAACAAATTGTATTATTTATTTGGGGGTAGGTAGTAATAAAAAGTAAAGTAGTGAATGATATATAGTAGTATTTATACTATGTACAGGAATATCGGGATATTTAAGAGTTGAAGTTCTTTTGGGCCTCACCCTTCTTTTCTTGCAGCTTGTTACCGGCTTCACCAGAGTTGTTACCAGTGAGGGAGTTTACAGCACCCTTGGCAGCACCAGAAACTTGGTCAGCAGCACCTTGAACGTAACCTTGGGCAGTGGCAAGAGCACCTTGAGCTTGACCAGAGGCGTTTTGAGCCTTACCTTCGGATTGAAGTGATTCGTTTCCGACAGCACCACCAACAGTGTCCTTGACGTTACCAACAGCACGATCCTTCTTTGAGTCAGTCTTTGAGAAATCCATTTTGAGTTACTGAGTTATTATTGATGAGAATAATTTGATACTTTTCTCGACTTGATGGCAAATAGCGGCCACTATTTATATTTGAAATTTTGGGTAAAATGGCAATGCTATAATCCTTGCATCATATTCTGCTTATTGTGCTACAACAACACTGCTCGTTCAAATAAGGCAAGGCGCCATAAAATGCACCTGAAATTGGTTGCGTCAAGATGATCCTTGGTTTTCATGTTGCGCATGAAAGAATGATTTATTTCACATTTATCGTGTAGCACCTTCAGGTGTTAGCAAATTACCGTAACCATAGCCTTTGGGGCCAAATGATTTAGAGTAGCATCCTCTACAGTAGAGGTCGAAATCACGATCCACCATGTTGGTCGAATCTAGTCTTTTACCGCATTGACAGCATTTCAAACACATCTTATGATACTTGTTACCAGCCCCCAACACAAGTTCTGCTGCATAAACGGCTTTACCACAGCCTGTGCAAGTGTCTGGTTGCGATCCAAAGTTGAATTTACGAGGTACGTAGGTTGTTTGATGCTTGATGTAGGAAGTTGCTGGGACTTCATTTGAAGCTGGTTTGGACGAGATTGGAACAGGTGGGCGATTGAGTGCATTGCTCGTTGTTGGTCTAGAAGGCAATGATGGCGGTGTGGATGAAGCTGCTAGTGGAGATGGTGTTTCATGAGAAACGTTAGAGGGTGTTCTAGGCGGTAAAGCAGGGCTTTCACGTGAAGGTAAAGAGGGTGTTATGGATGCAGATCTCGTAATGGCAGCATCATCATAGTTTTCCTTTAGAACTTCACTAGGCATCTTGTTCTCTGTACTCAAAAATGCAGCACCACCAGCTATACATTGTTTTAGTATCTCTTCCATAAAAGAGGCAATACACTTTACCAAATCCATATCCTTTAGGTCCCCATTTGCGACTATAACAAGTCTTGCAATAAGCCTATGCCGTGTTTTTGTGTTGGTGGCTCCCCATTATATCGCACTTCTCTTCATCATGCCTACCTCATTATCCTTTTCGGTTAATGTGGTTGAGTCCAGTCTTTTGTTGCATTCCTACATGGCAGATGAGTGAGTGAAGTTCATGTAGAGTAGCCCCTATGATATAGCTTACTTTGCATGTCAAGCAATAGTTGTGCCATTGCCCTCCTGGGCCAAGAACCTAGAGGTCAGCTTGTTGAGTTTGCGTGTGTGTGCTATTTATCGAGCTTTTCTGTCGTTTTTTACCTGTTCTGCCATATAGACAGCTAATCAGCTAATGTTAATTGAATCTTCACATGCATTGGCATAAAAAACAACTTACATTTCTCACAACGAGGACATTTAGGTGCTCCTCCAAATCTTGGTGGCATTTTCGCTTAAAGTGGTGATTAATAGAAAAAGGGTAATCCCCAAGCGAACAAAATAGAACCAGAATGGGTGACGGAGAATAGAGTAGCAGGAGATGATTCATTTGTCTTGGTTCTCATTTTTACTTGGAGCACCTCTGTTCGTGATGAAATCACTACTAGCAAGTCGACAGCATTTAGAGGCGTTTGCAATGTACTGGCTATTTTGGCATTGAACGGGAGAATGCGCTCAAAACTAGTGTGTTTAGTTATTTCACAATTTGATAGGCGTGATTTAATGAACCAAACAACGCTTTAATTGGACTTTTTACAGTAATTCCATGGAGATGTAGTAAAAATGCATGTATAAATGGCATTTTATTCAGGATCCGAGTTTATTTCACTGTATTGATTAGAGCAATTTTTGTCACAGTGCTCTTAGAAACTTACAGAGTGAATCTGCCTTGATTTGAGAGAGAAAATCACATTCGAGCGAGTAGATAAAGAGGATCTCAAGTGCAAATTTGCAAGACCTTGTATGAAATCAATCATAGGTTTTCTCTCATAGCTTCATTGGTCCCCTGAGATCACTCTTGGACAGAGACAATTGACCGATTCAGGTTACTGAAACAGTGCAACTTGATTCATATGCATGTTGCGAATTTGAGCGCTACATTTCTTATTCCTGTGAATCACGAAATTTTTTGGTTGTTACACTATACCATGACAGACGCATAAAGAGAGCTTAGCTACTGCGCCGGACGTATATGCTGTGGTGGTCAAGGTACCTCTATGAATGAAGATAACGTAATGCGACGTAATCCGACATCTTTCCTTCCAAGGCTTTCTATTCACCCCATCAAATACATCTCAGTGAATACGTGTTTGAAGAAGAACATGTTTGCTTTAACGACTGATGGGGTGAAAAGTATCATTTACTTTATTTTGGGGGGTGGGGCAGCAAATGAATGGATTACTAAGCATTCACATCTTACCATGAGTGAGGGTGAACATGGATTGACAGTCATTGCTACAGTCTCAGGCACAGAGGAATGAAACCAAGTATAAATAGGATTGCAAACAGTAATTCAGTTTGCTATTACATTATATCAAATACTCTTTATATCTTTTTACAAATGGACAAGATCACTCTTTATTATTTCACTGTTGGCGATAGCCGTAAGTTCTTTCGAAACCAAATATAAGTAATATGGCGTAATAACATGGCGTTATCTGCATTCAGTTACACGTGCTCGTGGAGAGAATGTCAAGCTCTTACTTGAAGATGCTGGATTAGAGCACGACTATATTCGTGTCAAGCATGAAGAATGGCCCGCATTAAAGCAAAAGCTTCAAGCCAAAGGTATCCATTCTGCTACCCTCCCCTTCATCGAAACCAATGGCCAAACGTTCGTCAAGGCACCTGCCATCATGCGCTACATTTCTACAAAGCTGGGTGGCAAGTATCATGGCTCTACTCCTGAGGAAAACCAAATTTTAGACGTTGTTGCTGAACTCAATGATGTGTGGTTTGAACACTTGAAAAACTCTTTCTTTGGATCTGATGTAAGTTGTCCATATATGTTGTGATGCGTCAAATGGCATGTACTGATTTGATGCATGTCAATAGGAAATGAAGGCTAAATATGCCAACGAGACCCTTCCTGCACAAATCAGCTTGTTTGAAAAGTATTATTCTGATCGTGAGGGTCCTTATCTCTTGGGTGAAAAGGTAATGATGGGTTTTTTTTTACGCTGTGTATACCAGGCTATTAACTTGGATTTCGAATAGCTTACCTTTGCTGATATCTTGATCTACCACATGATTGATGATGGTGGTGCTCGCAGCAAGTTGGAGGGCGCTGCACCTAACCTTCTCAAGTTTGTCGAGGCCTTTGAAGAGCGTCCCAACCTTAAAAAGTACTTTGCTACTCTTAAATAAATGCCATTTATTGTAGAAATAACTTAATGCAGTTGTACGAGCTACGCATTTTAGCGTGTAAGGATTGGGTGTAAATGTAATGCCAGACGCCTGAACCCCATCGATACCTGACAATTCCTTGTCTGGCAAGATGTCTGCTCTTGCAAATATCTGAACAAATACATAGAATATCTCCAGTTCAGCCTAGATATCAAGTAGATTGAAGCAATCTGGTATAATATACATTGAATTCACATTAACAAGTAGATGCCAGGACAAATACGTCTGTTTTTCAGATGATTAGATGTATATAAAGACTCTACCAGACAAAAGCTTACCTCCCCCAACCAAATGCAAAGTGATCTCTGTCATCCAATCTTCCATTTGTTGCAGCCATCCTTGCTTTGTTGTTGTTCAAGAATCTTTCAGGCAGAAATGCTTTGGGGTCAGTGTAGTAGTCTGGATTCATGTGCATACTTCCAGTGCTGAATACGATAGTACATCCTTTAGGAAACAGATAGCCATCTACCGCCTCTGTCGTTCTTTGCCAACATGCGGGGTCAATGAAAATATCCACCTACTTACTGTCTTCATTAACACTATGATGCACACTTATAGGAGTCATCGATCTAAATCGCATGCATTCTCTTTTCCTCTCTGAGGAAGCCTTAATGAGCCAAGAAAACCTTCCGTATTGATTAGAAAAACAAACGAAATGCAAGGCAAAAAAGGAAAAGTTTCTTATTAAGTAAACTTTCAGAAGAATCGTATCACACCATGGTTTTTAACTCAAGTCGTTCTACATTGTTTTCAAGACAGAAATCATCATACAACGTCTTCTTTGCTGTGTGGGCTACCAAATATTTGCTCTTTTTCTTGCAGGCTCTCAAATATAAGGATATTACAGCTCGTCTCTAGCTAGAACACCTTAATTAATGGTTTTTTTTTTTTTTTTTTTTTTTTTTTTTTTTTTTTTTTTTTTTTTTTTACTGATAGCCTTCTATTTTCTCGTTGTGAAACTGGATCCTAGATAGGATCACAATGCAAGATGTTGAAAACGGACCTTAAACAGTACAATAGTATATTCAGGAACCATCTTCTACTGAAAGACGTCAAATTGTTACATCGCGGCTTTACAGTGCCAGATATATTGAATCAATCTGCGTATAGTCTGATTATATGTGATTTCAACTATGAAGACTACCCTCGGAGACAAGTATATCCAAGTGTACTGATCATGCTCTCTTGTGCTGGTCTTGATCCAAACAAAACAAATGATACATCCTTAATTATCAAATCTATGGCTTCAAAATGGTCTTTATCAATTAACCTCTCGTCTAAACATAGTAAGAGACTAGTTTAAACTTGTACATCAAAGCACTTGCTACCATGCCGATTTCCGTAGTAAGCAATTACTGTTTTTTTTTATCACCACAAGCATTTGAAACCAAATGTTTAATAGGGCAACATCCGTCACATTAAGCCAAAACTGTAACACAAAAGCAATCAAAGCTCTAGGTCTTTCTTCTTTCCTTCTTCTTCTCTTTCTATCATCCTTTATTCCACAAGATACATCAAATGGAAAATGTCGAGTTAAGAGAATATCAAGACCGCTGCATCAAGGACACCTTGGCCAATATCAAAAAGGGCAACTATCAGCAACTCATCTCTTTGCCAACAGGTAAATCGGACAAAGTACAATATACATCAGTCCATTGATGAAAAAGATATAGGCAGTGGCAAGACGGTAACCCCAGTGCTCAAAATTCATGCATGGAGCATACACTAACCGGCATATTAGGTCGTCATGTCCAACTTGATTCCATTGATCCCTTCACCAGCAGCAAAGGCAACCAAAGTCCTGGTGATTGCTCATCGTATCGAATTGATCAGTCAGGCAAAGGCCCAAATCTCCAAGTTTAATCCAAATCTGGTACGGATAAATTGGATGTGTCATGATATACTTGACACTGATTACAGCTGTAGACTGTTGAAGTTGAGCAAGGCAGCAATCACTGTGACCCTGCTGCTACTGACATTGTTGTTGCCTCTGTTCAGAGCTTAAACAGCAAGGATAAGAAAGACAAGGCTAAACTTCGAATGGAAAAGTTTGATCCCAAGGAATTCAAGGCGTTAATTGTTGATGAAGCACACCATGCAGTAGCAAAGACTTACATGCGTGTGTTCGAGTACTTTGGCGTGCTGGAACGTGCCTCCAAAGTGTTGCTCTGGGGCTGTACTGCAACTCCAAATAGAGCCGATAAGAAGGCCTTGGACCCTGTATTTGGTCCAATCTCCTTCCATTTGGGTTTATTGGAAATGATTGACATTGGCCATCTTAGCGACTTGAGAATCACCACGGTGGACACTGATGGGTTTTTGGACGATGACACATTGCACAGAGTTGTAATCACCAGTTGGAGACAATTTGCACATCAAAGAAAGAGAAAGTCTACCCTTGTCTTTGCTCGCAACATTGAAAAGACGCAAGATTTATGCGAAGATTTCATCGCTGAAGGAGTCAATGCAAGATTTATCACAAGCAAGACCGATTCAAAGACCAGAGCCTCGATTCTCGAAGATTTCAAGAGCGGCAAGATCCCTGTGTTGGTTAATTGCGGTAAGTGTGGCCTCAGATGAATCCTCCAAGAACTGATATGTAACACTTGTTTTGGCAGCTATTTTAACTGAAGGCACTGATCTCCCTCGCGTGGATTGTATTTTGCTTGCCAGAAAAACTAACTCAGAGCCATTGTTTCAGCAAATGTTGGGCAGAGGATCTCGTCTTCATGGGGAAAAGCAGGATTGTTTGGTTGTTGATTTCAAAAACAACTTTGAGCGTCTATTTGATGGCATGATGGACTCTCAAGATGATTTGGATGAAGCTGTCAATAGCAAGAAGAAGATGGTCAAGAAGACCAGTGCAAAGAATGCCAACAAGACAAGCCCTGAAGATGATAAATATGGTATGCAGCTCTATTTGCATGAATTATTATCGTGCTTGGATATACTGATATGTGTGTTTTAATAGAAGATAGTCTTATTACTATTAGACATTACAAGAGCTTACAAGAAATGATTGAAAAGAGAAGATTGCAGAAAGAAGCCAAGTTGTTGTTGGCTAAATCGCTTATTGCTCAGAGTAGAAAGAGCAAGAATGCTGCTGCTGCTGCTGCTGCTACTACTACTGCCAATCTGGTTTTACAGCCTTCCTTGAGTGACAAGATTCACAAGTACGTATTTAATGTGTAGTACTAGTATACAGTACTGACTGTATCATTGTAGGCATTTGGATGATATGACCATGACCATCAGAAGCTTCACAGTACCTTCTGCTTGAGTGAATACCCTCCCTCTTTTACCCCTTGTTTGCCACCTCCTCCTTGTTGATCATGTTGCATTAATTTGTGTCAACACTGCTTTTCATATTGTCGAATAAAACGAGTGGCTTTTTAAAGTTATCATGTTAGTGTAACTTTCACATCAATGGAGTGAGGAGTGTTTGATTGATACACTTGCATTGAGATGAAGGTGGCTTCATTCTAGATACATGCTCGATTTGATAGTGAGTCATTCAAGCAGGATCCACAGAGAATCTGATATCAATACAGCCCATTGTACGCTCCCCTACACGACACGCATCTTTGATCAAAAGCAGGTGAATATTTAAATTTTAAGATTCACACAATGAGATGTACCAATAAGCTCGCTTTGTTGTTTATGATTCAACTTCTCGTCACAGCCCATAGAACTAGAGATAACATGAATTGTTTGGAATCTGGGGTAGCCAATCCATTTGGTATAAATAGCCAAGCTCAGTTCTCTCTCTCCCCTCAAATCCCCACATTTTCTTTTTCTTCTTTCTTGCACAGAATGTTTAGATCCATTGCTACTCGAGTTGTAAGTGTTTCTATCTCCATCATCATGCATACATTGATCTAACATCTCTTATTGAAGGTGCACAACACTCGCTCTCCTGTCATCAACAATGCCAGATTCTTGGCCTCTCAAAGCAGTTCCGCTACATCTGCCATTTCCTTCAAGAAGCATATTCGTCAACGTCGTTTTGCTCCTGTCCCTATTGTGCCTCAACCTACTGTCGAAGATGCAGTAACCAACATTCTCTACAACACACCTGCTCCCAGTCTCCAGCCAGAGACTCGTCATGTTCTGAACTGTTTGGTTCAAAACGAACCTGGTGTCCTCAGTCGTGTGTCTGGTATCTTGGCTGCTCGTGGATTCAACATTGAGTCGCTTGTTGTAGCCAATACTGAGGTGGAGGATCTCAGTCGTATGACCATTGTCTTTAACGGTAGAAATGTGCAAATTGAACAAGCTAGACGTCAATTGGAAGATTTGGTAAGGGAACAACAGAGACAGAGAGAGGCAGGAAGATGGGCCATTGACACAATCACATCATAGGTTCCTGTTTGGGCTGTATTAGATTACTCAAAGACAAAGCTGGTTGAGCGCGAACTTTTGCTGATCAAGGTTTCAATTCTTGGCCCTGAGCATTTACATGAGCAATTGCCTACCGCCAAATTGGATGATGATGTTGAATACGAGGACGAGCTCCTCAATCGTTACAAGAATGTAAGTCAACCAAGAAGGCATTCGACAGCATCGATGCCAACTAAACCTATCTGTTGCTAGCAATCTGCCACTGGCTCTTCTGATACCCTTCGTGAAACATTCTCTCATTTGCGTGCCTTGACAGAACTTACTCGTCTCTTTGACGGTAAGGTCGTTGATGTGTCCTCAGATTCTGTCATTATCGAATTGTGTGCCAAGTCGAGTAGATTATCTTCATTCATGAAGCTTTGCAAACCTTTTGGTATCCTCGAAGCTTCAAGAACTGGTAAGTTGCTTATTTCAAAAGTGATTTGGAAATGTGATTGCTAATTTGATATACATCACAGGTATTATGGCTATGCCTAGATCTCCCGTTCACGATCATTATGAACCTCAAACTGAACATTCATACGAGGATTCTGATGTTGTTGATGCCTCTTTGCTTCCTCCTGGATAAATAACTCACACTTTTCACTTTACATATATTCTAAGCACTATTTATACATAAACATCTTTTTACTTTAGTATTTGTCAATCATGTTGACTCATGAACCATATTATTGGTTGTGCGATGGTATATGCCACTCTAGCTGATTCGTGTGTAACTGTAGCACAAAGCATCTTATATATCAACACATTTCCGCTCGCAGTGAAAGATGACATTTTTTGTCACTAGCGCCAAAATGACAGCTGCTGGAGTGTATTTTGAGCTCTGAAATAATAGTCTTACGTAAAGTAGACCCTACAATAGTCGTCAGGTAGCCAGGTTTTTATTCAAAGCATCATTACGGGCGTTTATAGCCCACAAGATAACCCAAGATGTTTGATAGACTGACAATGCCAATCAGCTTGTTCTCTCCGTCCACAATGATTAGCCTATACACCCTCTGCTTTCTGATGGTTCTGAAAATGGAGTGCAATGTGTCATTCAGTGTACATGTATGCACTCCAGGATAGTCCTTGGGCCTCGCTTCCATTGCCTCTCCAACAGGGATATCCAGTTCCTTGTATCGCCCTGATCTAGCAATACTCTACACATACCTGCTGTTACTACCACAATTCAGCGCTGAAGCCTTGGCAACCTTACCATCACATCGATCGTCTCGTACACATTGAGCACCACGCCATTTGCGTCCACAATGGGCACGGCACTTATATTTTGCTCCACAAACATATTGATCACTTGAATCACCGGTGTTGACATGGATGCTGTTGCTATATTCTCGTAGGTTCCAATTTTCAGTTCTGATAACGGTTGTCTTAATGCTCTAGTGTGCTTAAACTAAGTGTAACAGTCAGTAATGCACAATCACCACCACCATCCTAGGCACACTCACATTGGAAGCAATAAACTTCAGAATACGGTACTGTGTAATCACGCTAACAATCATCTCTGTGCCAGTTTCCGGTTCCTTATCCAACAGTGGGACTCGATGTACCCTGCTTTCTGCCAACTTTCGACACGCGTCATACAATGTAGCCATGGGGTCCATCGACACTAATTGAGGTGCTGGTGCTCCAACTAATTTCTCTACGTTGCGTAAATGTGCCAACTCGAAGCTCTCAATTTCACGAGAAGCGTCTTCGACAGAAGAGTGGGTATAGTAGTATTGTATCAAATTGATAAAGTCGGCCACGGTTAGCATGCCTGCAAATCGTTGTGTTTCGCTGGACCACAGAGGAGCAGAGACAATGCCTGTTGTTGGTAGTGTTGTTGTGTGAGCATGAGCAGTTGTATATCGATGGCTGTATGTACCATCAAGACAAGCTTACCGTTCTGTACAAGTGCGTTCAATGCTTTCTTGACCAAGAGTCGAGTATCAAAGACAATCAGCCGATAGCTCACAGGTAAGACGTCATATGCTGTATGCTCTTTCAAAAAGGAGCACATGAGTGTTTGTATTTCGCAAGCTTGTTCTGGTAATGGTGGTGTTGAGCCAACAGACTCTCTATCAAACTGGTCGTTGGATGGTACACTGGACGATGTAGTAAAAGACATGTTGCCTATAATAAGTTGTGTATGTGTGTATAATTATTAAAAGGTAAAAGAAAAGAAACTCTCGAAATAGGAAACTTAAATGTTTAATAATTGTGATAATTTAAACATTTACCCGTGATTTTTTCAAGACATTTCACTCATCTGATGCACTTAACTGAGAGATCTAGGAAGGAGCAGCTTGCAATTACCAAAGCGAATCAGTTGAATAAGTGGTATGGATTTATCCTTCTGGCAGTTATGGACATTCTATATATATCCTTGCATTCAAATGACATTTGCGTCAGACGAGTCAACCGTCGTAGTCAAAGGTGTTGGAGGAGGCTGCAGGGTAACTCGAATATACAGTTTCAGTCGAATGAAGCAGACAAAACTGCAGAGTCCCTTCAAGGCCATCAAAGTTACCAATCCAGTGGCAAACTGTTGCTTTCATGACTTGATGCTTCATATGGCTGTTAGTTGTACTACGAGCTGTCAGTTACTCCACTGCTTTCTAGTGCGGATTCTTTCACCAATTTCTGTGTATGTAAGCTGCAACAACTTGTTTTCAAAAGATTTAGGTCTAATGATCCATTATTAGCAGCGACAAACCAAGCAAGTAATATTTAAATACACGTCAATTTCAACCGATGGGTTGCCTTGATGATTGAAACCAAGAATACATTGCTTGGGGGGGGGGGGGGTAAAAATTTGCTCACTGTTATTTGATCAGGGTAAATCAAAATAGCGCAAGCATTTATAGGGGTTTTTTTTTTTAAAAATACATCACGGTTGAGCATAAGAAAATAATCACACTTGAATATATAATGCAGCTGCATCAGGACATGCCGACGGATCTTGACCATGAAATGTAGTAGCTGTATTTACAAAGCACTGAGAGAAATGAGTTGCTCCCTGAGATGATGACTAATAAATACATCCTTGGCAAGTTGAACTCCTGAAAAAAAGCAAACATCTACAGCAACATGTCTTTGAAGTAGTGATTTCGTCAGGTGAGATATTGTGATGGTTTATTAAGATTTGTTGATTTTGAGTGCATGCTTCTAGTAAAACTTTTTTAACTACTGCGAGTGTGTTTATGTTTCGGATGGCTCTGTACCTTCGCTTCGCTTTGGGGAGAGCCAACTTGCGCAGCGGCAGCTTACGCTACCAGTTGCTCTTGCTTATCTTAACAAAATACTGCTACTTCATTCTAGCCCCCCCCCCCACTTATACGTGAGAACCCTTCATATTATCTGTGAATCTAACTCTTCTTATGTGATGTTACACATCCATATACAGGTTGCTACTTCATGCAGGGGCAAGCAGCATACTGTTACTGCCCTCTTTGTAGCCAAGAATGCGCCTAATACAGCAAACTTTGAGTGCATTTGAGCTGCGTTTTCTCGCGTTCAAAGCCGCTTTAGATTGTCAAAATAATACCAAATAATTGCTCTCAAAGGTTACTTAAATCGACCCTTCTTATGACTAATGCGTTTGCATTTGTGGAATTTGAGGCTTTACAGACTAAAATTCACGGAAAAAAAAGAATAAAAAAACAGTAAAGTCAACTTGATAAAGGTATATTTTATTATCAAACTGACAGGTGTAAAGTAAACTGAAGTCTCTCTACTGGCCAGGTAGATGATCCTTCTTATATACTATAACAATGGATAAAAGTTCTATTAATTAGATTGACAAATAAGTCAACTCAGATCAACTAATGTCTAATCATGCTAAAAGACAACTCCAGCAAGCTAATCATGATTTAGCTCTGTCTGGATGAATAATTAGACTCTCATCCGAAGTACCCTGATCTATCCTTTCCATAAGGATAATTAATATCGATCTAGTAGCATGTGTCCGATAGGTACAGTCTTCTTAGTCTATATTAATAGTACATATCTGAGTGTATATCGCTAAGCATACATCTTTAGCATGTATCTGGATATATGGCATGTCTATAGCATATCGTATGCATGTCTATAGCATGTCTCATATATAGTACAAGTCTGTAGTACATAAAGTATCTGTAGCTAGTATCACGGATATAAGCATGTGTCTTATAGCGTGGATCATGAAGTGCACATCTGAAGCAACAAGCTCATATTGCATTAATCTTGGTGCCTATCCAGATATGGTAAACATCCGTAGTCAATGTCGGAATACAAGTATAAGTCTATAGTGCCATCCATGTCCGTGGTGCCATCTATAGCCTATATCTTATATAGTATGAATCTTATAGTACTAGCGTATCTGAAGTCCATATCTTCTCATGATCATAGTATAAATCGATATCGTACATCTAATCCAGTGTACATACAGTTTATATCTAAATCTGGTAACTGGATGAACTGTCGGAATGCAGATCATAGTGGATGTATTCCACATTTGCCCCCACCAGTTTCAACGCATGTTGACTAATTCAAAGAATTATGTAAACGATCAATGACCTGTATTTCGCATTCGCTGACAAAGATATAACGCAATGTGATAGTCTAAAGGTGCTACTGCAATTTGCATGTTGCCCTGATATATCCCATGACAAACATCACTTTACTGTTCTGCAACGTTGAGTCTCTTAGAGCCTCTCAAACGCTTGTCAGAATCATCACGCTTACGCTTTGATTTGGAGGAAGCAGTGTCACTATTTAGTGCCTGTCTTCTCTTCTCAAGCAGCTCATATTCCTTGATCTTTGCCCAGTACTTACGAATGGTTTGAGGGTTGTTGAACGATGCAGCAGTTTCCCAGGAGTTGGCAGCTTCTCCAAATGTCTTCCATTTTACCAAATACTCTCTATTGTGTTCAGGACCACGATGCGCTCTGATCTCGTCAACCTCATATACTTCTTGTTCGATGATAGACTCGTCGATTGCTACCAGCTTCAATTCAGATGGCACATAGTCGCGATGTAATAGTTCATTCATATCGTCTTTCAACACATATGTAGATCTTTTCTTTTGAACAACTTGATAGGGTCCATCATAAGCGGCCTCAAGTTTGCTTTCTCTATGCGGAAGTCTTACCATAACCCAATCACCAACTTTGAAGTGTGTAATCTTGTGATGCTTATTGAATCGCGTTGCTTGCTCCTCAATAATGCGTTGTGTTCTTTGGTTAATAGCTGGAAAGACAACCTGGTTCATAATCTCTGCCTTCTTGCGTAGCTCACCGAGAGTCATTGGCTTCTTTGGTAAGTTGTCCTTGATCTTAGGATCATCGTAGTCTACGAATCTGTTCAATGGTCTAGCAAACATCAATTGAAAAGGTGCACTCTCAGTGCGATACCTAATTTTTGTGTTTATAGCCAGTTGAGTTCCAGGTAGAACCGAGTCCCAGTCATAGATGTGTTCACTGACCATCTTACGAAGTGCATTAAGAATATTTTTAACACCTGATTCGGATGCACCATTGCCCCTAGCGTGGAAAGCCGTAGAGTATCTTTGATTGATGCCAAGTGCTTTACCGATCTCGCTCATCAAAGCACTCTTGAATTCACGTCCATTATCAGATTGTAGTATTTGTACTACGCCAAAGTCTCCAAAGATGGTAGTCAGAGCTCTAGCGACAGTATCAGTTTGTTTGTTGGGCAATGCACGAGTTATAATAAATCTGGTGCAAATGTCGTATACAACTAATATATATATATTGCCATTGTTGGTTGGAGTTAACGGACCAAGAAAGTCAATGCCTATGTGATCAAATGGACCATACGCTACAACGTTTCTCAGTTCATGGTAACCCTTTTGAACTACATTGTGTCTTGCACATTCCATACATGATTGACAAATTGCCTTTGCATCATCATATAGACCTGTCCAATGAATACCTTCTTCATGTAGTTTCTTGACAATACTAGCGGCACCAAAGTGTCCAAATTCATGAGTTTCACGAAGCAGTTGGTCTCTCTCATTGTCAGGTGGTGCAATGTAAGCAACGCTTTCATAATTGCCCTCCTTGATCTTCATAGCAAGTACATTCAAGTGCTTGTCTTTATTATAGACTACTTTGTTCTTGGTTAGATAATGCTTTGTTTGCTTATTGTTGCCAATGAATCGTTTCTTGGAGCCTTTGCTTCTCATGATATTCTTTTGTAATTTAGCAATTTTCTTATCACTGTCTCCCGCCAGCTCTGTATGATCTTCTAAAGGTTCATACAAGCGACTAAGTTTGTCAGGTAAGATGTTGTCTAAGCCCTTGATATGAGTGAATTGCAGTTGGGGATACTCGTTTAAAATCTCCATGTAATTTTGAATGACTCTAGTAGGACATTTACATGTGTAGATATAAATCAGAGCTCGATGATCTGTCATAACCTCAATCTCAGGATGCCCGTACAATAAGGGTCGCAAACGAACTAAACCGAATAACACGGCATACAGTTCTCGTCTCAGGACAGGCCAGTTCTGTTGGGATTTGGTCAGAGATTTGCTCAACATCGCCACATAGACTGTGCGTCCTTGATCGTCGCGCTGCGTCAAAATGACTGCAACTGCATATAAGCTAGCATCACATTCAAGATAAAATTTCTTATTCATGTCTGGTGCAGTCAGTAAAGCTTCAGATAACAAGACCTTCTTGATAATCTCAAGTCGTTTGGTGTGCTCCTCAGTCCATTTGCTACCAGCATCTGGATCATTTCGTAGAGCATCAATAGGCGCCATCAGTTTTGACAGATTTGGGATGTGTGGTCTCAAATATGAAATAACACCAGCTAGTTGTTTAACCTGTTTGGCAGATTTGCATGGACCCCAATGATCAATGTCAGAGAGACGTCGCATGTCAACCTTGGAAACATGAGGACCAACTACAAAGCCTAGCAAGTAGATACTAGATCGAAACCAGGAGCACTTTTCAACACCAATCTTTAAGTTGGCATGTGTCAAGCGTCTCAGCACCTCCTTAATCAATTCGCAATGACTGGATAAGGATGAAGATACGAGGCATAGGTCGTCCACATAGACCTCCACGTTGGGCATATCAGAAAACAAAATGTTCATGACAGAGCTAAAGACAGATGTGA